CCTCCCTCCCACCCCTTTTCTGTCGCCTCCCTCTGCATTTCTCGCTCCCACTCCTTCTCACCCCTTCTCTCTCTCCCTCCCTCCCTCTCCCTCCCCTTCTTTCTGGCTCTCCCTCCCACTCCACACATGGTGGAATGCCCTGGTCCTCTTTAGTGAAGACTGCATGGACAGAGTTTCTTCTCGTCTCACTGGACACAAGCAACCCAGAGGAAGGAAAAGACTGGAAGTGCCAGCCAACTCAGCTGCTCCTTCTCTCTAGCGGGACTGCTGTTACAGTGTAAGGCGTGTGTCCCCATAGGGACAGTGCGGTGGGGAGGACACAGGGCCCCGGGGCACCAGGTCAGGGCCAGCCCAGGACGCGGCTGAGCCAGTCATAGGGAAGGGATCTCCGCACGCCTATCTCTGCCCGACCCTCCAAGAGCAAAGAACATTTGGACAGACGTCCTCTCGGCTTTGGGGAAAAGCACCAGGCAGCTCCAGCCAGAGAAGCAGCAGGAACAGTTTCGGGCGACGCCTCATCTCTGGGGGCTGCAAGCGTGACCAGACCATCCTCGGTGCTGGGCAGCACAAGGCAGCCCCCTGCACAGAGACCCGGACGCCGGCCTCAGTGGGGACACGATGGGCTGTCCCAGGCCCCAGGATTCCAGCATCCAGTGCTTCAGGCAGTTCACAGATCACCAAGTGACACCAGGCCTCACTCAACCTGCCTCCCTAGGCATCGTAGCAGTGCAAAACATGGCCCTGGGAGGCCGACAGGAACACGCAAGCGCATGAACAGAGCCAGTGGGCAAGAACAGGGGGTGGGAGTCTCCCGGGCTAGACTCCTGGGAGCCGCAGGGACTCTGGGAAGCACCCAGGCCCACCCCAGCACGTCCGGGCTCCTCTGCATGGCACTCAGACCCGCTGGGTTTCCACACACAGTGTAACCGCAAGGTCACCCCAAGGAAGAACACAGACTTACCCTGAGTTTTGGATTTTTCAGACTAGAAAAATAGTTTTCAAGCTACAAAGAGAAGAAAGAGACAACTATCAGAAGCGTATCCTGAGACCTGTCGGGACAAATGTGCCAACCCCACAACGGCCAAGGCTCTGGACAGTGGTGTTGAGGCCATTCTGACACTCAGGGAAGCCGAGCCAGCTGGGGCTGGACCCTGTCCTGGGTTTACCCATGAGCCGCCACTGGCCATCTTAAGCCTTCCGGATGGACACCAGCAGTGGAACATGGTGTCACCTCAAGAAGAAGGATGACTCTGCACCCTGCTCGCACGAGGCTCCCAGCGTCAGAGTCGGCCACATGGCAGGAGGCCACACCGCCCTGGGCACAGGGTAACTGATCGACAGTTCAGTGCGAATGCAGCCCATTTCCAGCCCCCAGGGGGCTTAGGGCGAGAAGGGCCTGTCTGCCAGGGGCCCGGGCTCCCTGCTCTACACTAGCCAGGTCAGGCTCTGCGAACCAGAGGTGCATGTCCAGAGGTGTGTAAAATCAACAACACTTGCCACTGTGGGAGCTGAAGCAAAGGACACAGCAACGGCCAGGGCAAAGCCACCCAGCAAGGAGCAGCCACAGCCCACACACCAGGAGGCTCCGGGAACCCACGGGAAGGGGCCGGGGAAAAGCATCATGAGAGGAGGCCGGGCGCACACCGACAAGGGCTGTGTCGGAGGACCGTGGGGAGCACAGGGCAGGAAGGGAAGTCCCAGCATGACTTGGAGACCCTGAATCCTGACTCCCAGAAACGGGAGTGAGCCAGCAACAAGGGTGGAGGATGGTCGGGACCAGGACTCCCTGGACAGAGGCCCCTGGATGTGGAGGCTGGGCCCATCACGGTCATGGACATCAAGCACAGCCTGCACCCCAGACTGGGGGCTGAGAGCGGGAGGCGAAGACACAGCCAGCAGCCCTGAGCCAGGACATGCAGCTCCTGCCAAGGACCCTGGAGGTGCCGGATCAGGGGTAGGGGCCTCCGAGGACAGCATGGGGCAGGCAGGGGGTGCGCTTGTGGGTGGGGCTGGGACATGAGGCCAGAGCAGCCCAGCAGAAGACTCCGGCCCCATCCACAGTCCCCCAGGCCCGGCAGGCGCCTGCCGGTACTCACTATGGTCCGGTCAATGGTGTGCAGGTAGTAGGAGACCGGCTTCCCCGTCCACGACACCGAGCCCTTCAGGGGCGACAGCTCCACCACGCGCATGATCGTGCCGATGTCTGCACCGAGGGCCACAGGTCAGGAGCCAAGCAGGCCCAGCCTCTCCCGCAGAGCCTTAAGGCCCCCAGCTCTGGGCTCCGTCGGGAAGAGGCTCTGAGCTCGCCATCTCCAAACCCCACAGGCAGGGGAGGCAGAACCCTGAACTACGAACTTTGTTGCTCTCCCTAGACAAGGCCCGGGGCCGTCTCCCCACAGGACTCCCCCCAGAGGCCATCCCAACTCCTTTCCCTGCGGCAAGGCCCAGGACATCTCACCCCCACCACTCCTCCCCAGAAGCTGCCCCAATTCCCTCCCCCACGGCAAAGCTGGGGGCTATCTCATTCTCTCCACTCCTCCCCAGAGGCTGCTCCAACTCCTCCCCCCGCCACAGCAAGGCCTGAGGCCATCTCCCCCACACACTTCCCGCTGAGAGCACCCCAACTCCCTCCTCTATGGCAAGACCTGGGGCCATCTCACCCCCTCACACTCCCCCAGAGCCACCCCAACTTCCTTCCCCCGCGGCAGGGCCCGGGGCCGTCTCACCCTCCACACCCCCCCCAGAGGTCACCCCAACTCCCTCTGCACAGCAAGGCCCCAACAAGCAACTAGGGACGCAGGTGTGAGCACACCTGGCCTATGGGTCCCAAACCTAAGTGGCTTGTCAGAGGAACACGGGACAAGCCCAATGAATGGAACAGAAAAGGCCTTGGAGGATAATCCAGAAACAACTCAGATCATGACTACATGCATGGTTAGCACCCACACGACCTCCCAGGGCCTAGTGCCCAGTGCAGATGTGGCTCCCCCGAGGGAAGCCACACAGGGGCTGGGCTGTCGGGGTGACCTGGAGCTGACAGGCGCCCACAAGACCCTAGGGAGGCACCAGAGCCAGCCCCTTTCTGGCTCAGGCTTTGAGTAGCCTCAGGCCCTTGCCATCCACGGGCCCTGAGCCCGCAACACCACTCTGCAGGCAGGCTCCCGCAGACCCCTCACGTCTCCTCCCAAAGACGCAGGTCTTGCCCGGGGTTATCCTGTCCCCAGGGGACCCAGGCCATGTCTGGGCACACATGTGACTATCCCAACTGAGGGTGCTCCTGGCACAAAGGAGGTGGAGGCCAGGGACGTTGCTCATACCCTGCAGTGTCCGGGATGCCCCACTCCAGAGAACAAGCTGGCCCTGATGTCCACTGGGCCCAGGGAAGACCCTGTGTTAATGCATGTCAGGGGCTTAAAACTACTGACGTTAATAATGCAGCAACATGACAGTCTCTTACCACTCAAGTTTCTACTGTTTATTCTGAAGTTTAGAGGCGCAAAAGGTTTCGAGGACACAATTCTGCCACCTGAAACACAAATCCTAATTACTGCCGTGCACAGGAAAGTGAATGTCCATACACAGACGCAACGAGGTGAAATGAAATGCAGAACACACAAAACAGTTACAAAGAAAAAACACCAAAAAACCAGAGCTCCAATTCCTCTGTGTTCTTATAAGCAAAAGCAAAATTGTGAAAAACACTTTCTAAAATTAAAGCACCAGCCTTGTCAGCATAGTGAGAGCTCGTCTCGACAAAAAAAGGAAATATCAGCCAGGCGGGGTCGTGCCTGCAGTCCCAGCGGCCCAGGAGGATGCGGCTGCAGTGAGTATGAACGCACATCACTACGACCCAGCTTGGGCAACATCGTGAGAACACCTAGCCTACAAACAACTTCACTCTAAAACACTCTCGCGTTCTCACAAAATCCCAGGGCAGTGATGCTGACCCAGGACTCCCTGTGTGGGACAGGCCTTGTGGTGACGCCCAGGACATGGGCCTCGGGAAGACCCGGGACAGCCACTGCTAGGGGAACACGTAGTCACAAGAGGAACTCACCGGCTGCACCTGGTGGGAGATCTAGGGCCAACGGTTCAATAAGAAAAAGGGAGAAGGCCGGGCTCAGCCTGAAATCCCAGCACTTTGGGGCTGAGCCGAAAGGACTGCCAGAGCCCAGGGTTTGAGACCAGTCTGGGCAACTTAGCAAGACCTCGTCTCTACAATAAACAAAAAAATTAGCTGGGCAGGGTTACACCTGCCTGTAATTCCAGCTACTTGGAAAGCTGAAGCAGAAGGATCACCTGAGCCCGGCGGGTTGAAGCTGCGGTGGCCGTGAGTGTGCCACTACACTCCAGCCCAGGCGAGAGAGTGAGACTCCAATTCAAAAAAAAAGGAAGAGGGAGAGAGCTGTGTCCACGCAGCAGCTTCTTCCAGAAACCAACTACCAGGGCAAGCAGGAGGTCCCTGGATCAGTGCCTGACTGTACCCGGGACATCAGCGGGAAGAATCAGGGCTGGGTCTCCCAGAGACCTGGATGTGCATGAGAACGCCTCTAACATGTAAAGACCTGAAGGCATGCGCCCAACCGAACACGCGCACAAATGAAACCCAACTGGTGCCTCCAGTGGGCTACAGCCACACTGGAAAAGAATAACTTTGAATACCTCAGGCGTGGGATTCCAACCACATATTGTGAGTGCGAAAAATTCTAAAGACAAATAGAACCACAAAGCAACATGATTCTACTCAGTGCATTGGTAGTGAAGGTCAGCATTACTATGAAAAGTCATCATGGCCACGCGTGGTGGCTCACACCTGTCATCCCAACACTTTGGGAGGCCAAGGCAGGAGGACTGCCTGAGCCCAGGGGCTCGAGACCAGCTTGGGCAACTAGGTGAGCCCTCATCTCTACAATAAATTAAATATCAGCCAGACGTGGTGGCACACGCCCACAGTCCCAGATACTCAGGAGGCTGAGGCAAAAGGATCACCCGATCCCAGCAGGTCAAGACTGCAGAGAGCCATGAGCATGCTACTGCACTCCAGCCTGGGAGACAGAATGAGACTCTGACTCAAAAAAATAAGTCATCCTGGAACCATGTCACCCGTGTTGCAAGAAAAATATCCTGAGTAAACCTATCAGTTCAGGAACCACATTTTTCAGCAAAAGAAAAAAAAAGAGCCAAATATAAAACCCAAAAAAGAGAACAATGTTAAGTGTGAGTTGGCAAATTCAAAACCAGCCCAACACACCTCACGCACACCTCACGCACACCCTGCCCTGGGGCCTGGGCCCTGCTTCCCGAGGAGGAGGGAAGGGGCAGTTCTGAGGCTGGGGAGGCACCCCAAGACTGGCGGGCTCACGCCAAAGGGTCGCACAGCCAACCCACCAGGCTCTCGGGCCCATCTGAGGAGCGGCGCCAATGCCAAGTGGCCTCAGTGAACATAGGAGGACCCCGAGTGCCACTGTGTGCACACCCTGACATGTGCAGCGAGGAGGACCCCAGGGAGCCCCGGTAGCACAGCTCTCGGGAGGGCACACGGCCATCTAGGTGTGCTTCCCATGGGGCCGGGGCTGCACTGGGGGACACTGTCCTGCCCGCCCGCGACCCAAGCCTGGCCCCTGGGTGACAAGCAAGCATCATGGGCATATGTGAAGACAAGGTCGAGCGCCAGCCCCTCGGGACCAGGACCAATGCTCCGGAGGTGGCATAACAAGGCAGAGGGAACAGAGGAGGCCTTGCTGCAGGGACCGTGACTCAAAGGCCAGGCCTGAGTGCTGGGAGGGGATGGGGCTGTCAGAGTCCCAACTTCCGAGGGTGAGGGCAGAGGTCGGGGCGGCCCAAGCCTCAGGCCAGACATGCGCCTCTAGAGGGGGACCACCCATGCATGGGCACAGACACGCACACAGACACGGACACGTACACACAGACACAGGCACGGACACAGACCCAACACACACAGGCACGCACACAGACGCAGGCACCGGGATAAGCACACCCCAAGCCCCGTGGCCGCGAGGGTCAGCACTGAAGGCAGCTGGGCCCTGGGTCTTCCTAAGCAGTCTGGCAGCTCCCTGTCTGCTTGACACGTTTCGAGGCCGCAGAAGGGAGCCCAGCAGCAGGCGGGCGGGGAGGAGGGCACCAGGCAGCAGGCCCCGGCCCGGGCACCCATCCCGCGCGGACTCAGCTTCACCGCCCGACAGAACCACGTGGCCGAGCACCCACTCCTGCACGGGACGACATCCCACACGTGTCCTCGAGCCGAGAAGGGGGCGGGCAGCCTGCCCGCCGAGGACGGGAACTGGGCTCCAGCTGCCTCCGGCCACACCCTGCAGGGCCCCGCAGGCCTCCGCTGTGGGGGACTGCAGTCGGGCTGCAGACAACACACTGTGGATGAGGCGGAGCCGGGCGGAGGAGGGCGCTCACCTTCCTTCATGTTCGCAAAGCGCTCCTTCAGCTGGTGATCCACCTCCGGGCCAAAGGCAAAGTTATTCACAAAGATGACACTGCAAAGCAAGGCTTCAGGTGAGTGAAGAGGCTCCACTGCACGTGCACGGCACCCACCCCACCTGCCAGGGCCTGAGATGGGGACTGCATGGCAACCCCAGTGAAGACAGGGCAAGCAGAAGAGTGGGCGTGTCCTTGCGGCCAGGACGCTGGACCTGCCCCTGGACAGATTTAACAGAGTTGCCCGGGACATACTCACAGCCCACTGGGAGGCGCCCCGGGAACACGCCGGGACGGGGCTGAGGCCGAAGGCTGGGAGTGGAATGAGATGCAGGACCTGAGGCTGCAGCCCCTTCCCACAAGGTCCCCAGAAAGACACAGGTGCGGGACGACGAGCACAGGGAAAGGCGTGTCTGGTGCCACGTGGCAGACGCCATGACAAAGTGGGCTGGGGGGTGCACTCGCACAGGAAGCCCACCCGGGTGCCCAGCATCTTCACCCGGCCACAGGCCTAGGGCTGTCCGTTGGCCGCCAGGACACGTGGGAAGGCTGGGACACGGGCGAGCCCAGCTGACCAAGCTGGGGGTGAGCCCGAGCAACCCAAGAACCAGCTCCCCAGAATGCCTGCCCTCAAGGCCACCACTGCCAGGTGTCCGCTCAAGACAGTTGCAAGGCCTGGGCAGGGCCAAGAGCAGCAAGCCAGGGCAGGCAGGGTAGGGCCGGGCAGGAGACAGCCACTCCAGGAGGAAGGGACAAAATAAACAAACACCCCAGAGTGGCCAGAGGAGGAGCCACATGAGGCCCTGTGCCGAGCTTGGCCCAGCCGCCCTGAGACGAGGCAATGTCCAGAGTCACAGGGCCAGGCGGAGGACCTCGGAGGGTCCCCATCCAGCAGCCCTGCTCTGTGGCCCTGCATGCCGGCAGACAGACATCCTGCTGGGAGACCCAGCGGGAGGGAGAGGAGCGGCTCTGTCCCACCCGCCCTGCGAAGCAAGCGGCCGCGCCGGGTCCCCAGGCCGCCCAGCCCCTGAAGTGCCGCGTGCCTACCTCGTGTTGGCGATGCGCTCCCGCCACTCTTCCGAGAGGAAGTCACCCCTCTCCAACTGCAAGAGAGCACAGGCGTGAGTGCCCGCCCTGCCGCCGCACCGCCCGCGAAGAGATGACGGGAGGAGCACAGAGTCGCCGGCGCCAGGGCCGTGAGGGGAGAAGGCGCCCCGAGCATGCTAGGGGAGCCACCGGTGAGGCCACGCAAGGCATGCAGGAGGCCAGGCCAGGCCCCACAGTGCAGCTGCCAGGACCCAAATGCGCCAGCACCCACTCGGGCACGGCCAGCCTGGGCAGAAGGTGACAGCAGCCACAAGACCACACACACCGGGAAGTCATGGTGCAGGGTCCTCGCTTTCCTGGAAAGTCTCAAGCGAAGGCTCCGGTCAGCCCAGGACCAGAGGTGACCTGAGGCAGGGCCTGCAGCTCCCCAGCCCAGCAAAGGAGGCGCCTCCGAAAAGGCAGTGGGGTTGGCCAGTGCACCCCAACAGCCCATAGGACATGGCCATGGCCAGGCACGCCGCCGTGGCAGACATCTATCCCTCCGTCACCACCCACAACTGACGTGCCCACGGGGAAGACTCGGCTGCCAGTTCACTACAGGTGTCGCCCTGAAAGCAGGCTGTTCATCAAGAGTGGTGCTGTCCCCATAACTCCATGCCTGCTCCCCAGGGAAGTAGCTATGGACACATGTCATTCTGCCTTTAAGACGGAGGCCTGCCACAGAAAAAACAGAACTTTTGTTTTGTTTTGTTTTGGGGGGGTTCTTTTTCTTTTCTTTTTTTTTGAGTTGGAGTCTCACTCTCTCGCCCAGACTGGAGTACAGTGGCTGCTCCCGGCCACCGCAGCCTTGACCCACTGGGCTCCGGCGATCCTTCCACCTCAGCCATCCAAGTAGCTGGAACTACAGGCACGCACTACCACGCCCGGCTAATTTTTTGATTTATTGTAGAGACCAGGTCTCGCCAAGTTGCCCAGGCTGCTCTCGAACCCGTGGGCTCAGGCAATCTGCTCACCTCGGCCTCCCAAAGTGCTGGGATTACAGGCTGAGTCACCGAGTCCAGCTTTTTTTTTTTTTTTTTGTCAGAGTCTCACTCAGTCTCCCAGGCTGGAGTGCAGTGGCATGCTCACGGCCACCACAGTCTCGATCCTTCTGCCTCAGCCTTCCAAGTAGCTGGAACTACAGGTTTGTGCCACTATGTCCAGGTAATTTTTTTATTTATTGTACAGACCAGGTCTCGTTTTGCTGCCCAGGCTAGTCTCAAACCCGTGGGCTCAGGTAATCCTCTCGCCCCCACCTCTCAAAGTGCTGGGAATAGCTGGGCTCGGTGGCTCAGCCTGTAATACCGCACCTTTGGGAGGCTGAGGTGAGTGGA